AAGATATTAGGCCATTTGAAGAAAATTTTCCCCATCTTTCTCTATTAGAAGTAGCTAATATTTTAAATTTCATATCTTTTCTGAAATAGGCTATACATGATTAGTGAATATTTGCATTTTTCTTTCCCCCTCGCTGCCACAAATATACACTGCTTCACCATCTTGGAGGTTTGTCCCGTGTCTGTGAATCTCATCTAGACAGTCACCAGTCTAGCTGCTGCACAATCCCTGCACAAATTAAATGGAGTTACAGGCTATATGTATTGGTAATTTGGATAGATACTGCTCCTCTTAGAGGTTGTGCAACAAATTTTGTCTTAATGGAAATGTGTAAGGGTACCTGTTTTCTAACACCATTGCCAGAACTGTGTTCTTAAACTTTTTCATCTGAGTAGTAAGATTGATGAAAATGGCATCTCATTGCAGTTTTAATTTTCCATTATGTGTAAGGTGAACATCTTTTCATATTTAAGGGAATTTTTACTTCCTTTTATTGAACTGTATGCCCGTACTCTGCCTGTTTTTCTAATAGATTGTTGAGGGTTTATTTTCTTACTGATTTTTACAAGCTTTTATGCATTAGGGAAACTAGCCCATAGTCTAAGATTTTACAGTGATAAAGCAGAGTTATTTACATTGAAAGTAAAAATTGATAATGCTTTCTTTTCAGAAAGTATCCATGTCACAAAATCCATAGAATCTCAACTCCACGTAATGGAAGTTATTAAGTATCCTTCATTGTAAGATACCAATAATTGTATAGTTCATTATATATTCCATGTGAGCTTTTTAAAGGAAGAATACCACTTTAAATACACATACTTTTTTTTAAAGCTACTTGATAGCATGTTTAACTGTTCAGTTAGCTGCCACTATATTCTTCAGTTTCTTAATTGTGTTTTTTTGTTAAGAGTGTTAAGTACTAATGGCTGTTAGCAGTTACGTGTAGCATCCTGGAGAATGTTTTCCAAACCCTGAGCTCATCATCATGACCTCTTCAGCACCTGACAGCATTGTATTCAAAGGTGTGAAAAGGCAACTTAACTTCCTCAGTAATTTATTTGAGACTTGGCTAAGTTTGCACGTGGACACATAATTACAACTATGGAACAACTTAAATTCCTCCCCCTGTCTAATGACAAGTTTCTTTTGACATCAGCTAATTGGAGGGCACATCCTAGTTTTAGAAATTTTATAATACAAAGGAAAAATGGACATTTTAGAATTCAAGAATGTACAAATTAAGCAGAATTAACATGAGGATTTGCTTGTAAGTTATAGATACTACTATTTTCTATGTCAAAGATCATCCAAAGGATAAATGAAGAAATATACTATCAATTATAGAAAAATACCTAGGAGGAGAGCAGTCTTACGCAAATTATTCCCACGTCTTAATATCTTTTCAAAATCTGGGAGAGGAAGACATCAATAAATGACATATTCCCTTTCAGATAGCAAAGACAACAGACTACAAGTCCCATTTTCCCCCTTTTAACTTCTTTTTAACTTGTAATTCAATCGTTAGGTATTTTATGAGATTTTTAGAAAGGGAAATTAAAATTTAATTTTTGCGCCACTGCCTGTTACCAAATATGTTTTATCCACCAACCTTTCAAAAGAATTATATAAATAGTGCTTTTAATTAATGCGACCAAAAACTGGAATCATTGGTTTTAATGTTGTATAGAAATTGTAAAACCTGTAATACCTTATAGGGTTGTAAAAATTTTTGGAGCAAAATGTTGATGCTTGGCCATTCTTTTATACCTGTACTAAAATAATCTTACATATTCTTACATTAGAAAAAAATGTGTATAGCTTTGTTTCAAAAAAATCTTTTGTATGTAACTTAAATGAAAAATTTTGAGGGATGTAGATATATCACTTTTTAACTCTTTATATTTGTACCTTAGATGGACCAGTCTTACAACCCCGATGAGAATGAAGTTCGAACTCTCTTTGGTCTTCGTTTAAGCCAGAAGAGAAATACTGGTGTCATAGACAAGTCATTATTTAGCAATGTTGTTACCAAGAATAAAGATGTAAGTTTGAAAATATGTGAACTGAATGTTAGTTATCATGTAGGTATGTTTTTAATATTTATAAGCTTATGCATTTATTAAGGCCTATTTAAAACTGGTTGATATGCAGATATTAGTGCATCTTCGAGTCATCATCAAGTAAGCTTGAGAACTTCAAAAATGGATAAAAGACTGTATTGGGAGCTTCTGTACATATGTATATGCATAGAGAGATTTATGTTTATTTATATATAAATGAGATCATGTCTTTCATAATTATGTTCTATAACTTGCCTTAGTGAATGAACACTAAGCTGAAAATTTGTTTCTGTATCAGTAAGTATATATCTACATCTTCATCTGAAAGGCCACATGGTAATTCATGTATAATGCACTATGATATTTAGTTTGTTTTCATTTTCAGTGTTTTTGTGTAGACAAGCTTTTACTCTTGTGCTTTTTGTCATCTTTTAGGAAGGACATATTTCTAGGACAATGTGATTTTTTTTGTATAGCTGTATTATGTCATTTAATACACATAGCAATTTATGGAAGGGGGCAGGGTAAGCTATTATCCTCTCTATTGTAAATGTCACAAAATTGTGATATAGGAGACAGTTAAGTTTGCCCAAGGTTATGCAATAAAGGAAATGGATGAGTTGGTAAATGTTTTCTGAAATCTCTTAATTGGGCCTTCAGTTTTGAAGGATATTTTAGCTGGGTCAAATGTTCACTATACTTTTTTCTCAGTATGTCAGATGAGTCACTTCATTGTTTTCTGGTCTTGTCTGCTGGTATGCCTGGTATTTTTAATTGACGGCTGAATATTGGTTATGGTTAAACTATAGAGATATTTTAGACAGTATTTTTATTTTTTTTTAACTCCAAAGAGAGTGATTTATGCTTTTGGCAGGTACATCAGGTGGAGGCAGATTGTCTTTCTCCTGGCAGGAATTGAGCTGATTCGAATTTGGGCTTCAGTCTTTGTGAGGTTTGTTTATGTTTCTTCCCAATTCTGCTGAAAGCGAAGTGTCTACTAGTACCCCTCTTCTCTGGAGTATACGGAAGTGTATTTTTGCCTCTTAGTCCTGTAAGACTCCAAAGCCACGCTCAGCTTATTCAACTCTTAGTTTATTACTCTCATCTTGGGAAATGCCTTCGGGGGAAAAAGCATAGACCGTCACACTCATTTCTCCCTTTATACTTGAGATCTTTGCCTCTTGGTACTTGGTATTTGATTAACTCTCTGTTCAGCTCTTCCATTTGTTCTTAGAAGAAGATTAATCTCTTAACAAGTCATTCACTGTAAGAGAAGTGGAAAACGAGGAGCTGCAATCTGTTCCAGGCCTGACTCCTGAGGCTTCAAGTAGAATTGTTGAAAATAAGCTTTAAAAATCTTTATTGGGATAGTTCTATCTATGAGTAAGCATATGGTGAAATAGACATGATCTTTGTGTGTTGATTTGTTGGATATTCTCTGTTTTTAACTTTGAAAATCGATGGTGCCCCTCAGTAAAAGAACCTGTGGGCATCATATGGAGAAATATCTCTCAGCCCTTTGGATTCCACTTCTTGGCCAAGATGACGACAAACTGGGATTTCCACATGGAAACTGTTTTGCAGCAATGTTACTTTAAGCAGCTCACAGTGAAATGAGGTGCTTATTACTTCATTAACCTGGTTGCTTAATGTATCTTTATAAAAACTGACCTAGATTCCATGGTACCCATGTTGACGATTGTACCTAAGTATTAAGACCCTTACCTTTTAAAATTTTCCTTGCAGATTTATAGGTATTGATCTGATTAATGATTTAGCAATATTTGATTGGTTTCGTGCCTCTGGTTATGCCCGCTTAGATGCTTTTTACATGGATTGAGGCTGTGGTTTTAATTACTCTTTTATGTAAATTCTTCTCTATTTGTTTCATATCTTTTTAATAGAAATCTGGGAATTTTAAGGATGAAAATAATGATTTTATCCTCCTTTATATTTCCCTCCCTTCTTTTAAAGTAGATTTTTAAATTAACGTTCCAGCCTCAAAATCATCAGATGGTAATGCTAAGTTTAGAATGGTTTTAGTTCTGAGAGAATAGAAGTATAAGGAGTCTATATTACATATTAATGAACATGCCTGAATTATTTCCTTTTCTCCCATTTTTTTCAAATAATGTTCTATTTTAACTGTTTGTGACATGTTTATAAGACCAAATTTCCTCACTCCTACCCTTCCCCTTCCTTGACATGTCTCATATTCCTTCATTCTAACTCAGAATACCAGGCTATATTTGAAGGTAGACGTCGAAGAGGCTGGCATTGGTTTTTAGAACCAGCAGAATAAAGTGTATACTTGTTGACTCAAACAGCAGATATAGATAGGAAAGGATATTACATTACATTAATAGCACCTTAGAGTTACAAATTCTTAAGAAGTTCTGACAATGTTTTTTAATTAAGCTTTTAATTTTGAGATTAAAAAAGTAAAAATTGTAGATTCTTGTGCAGTTTTAAGAATTCCCATGTACCTTTTACCCCATGTCCCCTAATAGTAATATCTTACAAAACTATAGCACAATATCACAATTCTGGCATTTTCTTTGCTACAATCAAGACACAGAACGTTGCTATCACCACAACGAACCCTCTTGGTGCCCTTTTTAGCCACTCTCTTCCCTCCTGCCTCTGCCCCCTCCTCAACTTGGAGCAACAATCAATCTGTTCTCCCTTTCTATAATTTTTGTTTGTTATACATTCATGAACAGGTTTTTGGATGAACTTCAGTTTTTATTTCTGTTATAAATGCTCTGGAGTAATTGCTCAGTGCTGGGCGATATTGTAGTTGCACGTTTAGTTTTATAAGAAACTACCAAACTGCTTTCCAGAGTCTGTACCATTTTACATCTTATACCTGCAGTGTATGAGTGGTCCAGTTCCTCTGCATCCTTACCAGCTTTTTTGAAAGATAGGCATGTATCAGTGTCTCATCATTTTAATTAGCATTTCCTAATAGCTAATGATGGACTTTCTTTTTTATGTATTTATTTGCCATCTGTATATAACCTTTTTGGTGAAATGTCTCTTCATATCTTTTGTTCATTTTCTAATTAATTTTTTGTTGTTATTGGTGAGTTTTGAGAGGTCTTTGTATATTTTAGGTACTAATTCTCTATTGATTATGTGGTTTGCAAATATTTTCTCCCAGGTTTTAGCTTAACACAGGGTCTTTTGTGGAGCAGAAAATTTTAATTTCTATGAAGTCCGATTTATCCGTTTTTCAGTTAGCTGATTTACCAACTAGCTGCTGCTTATATCCTTTGTCCACTCAGCATGCTGACATAGGTCATTGTCCTTTTTAATTTGTATTTGCTTTTTATATCAAAGATAGTGAGTTTGGGGCTAAAATATTTGTTGTTTTATTCTATTTGGACTGGTAGTCCACAATGCATTTCTGAATAGTTTCTACTTAGAACATTCTAGACAAAGCAGAAAATGATCCTAATTTGATTTTCCCTCAACAGCCTTAGTTGTGTGCGGGCATCACATTTGTTACGTCTGTGAAAATTATTCTCGGTGTTTTTTTCTGAACATAAATGTTATCACGTCTCTAGATATTTTTGGTACCGTGGTAGAGAAAATACTTGTCACTTTTGGAGTGGATGTGGTATTTCCTATCTTGTGTGGTATGTAGACAGGCTTAAGCCAAAGTTGGCGCAAAATGGCATAAGTGTGAGTCTGTTGTACATCAGGCAATGTCCCGAGTTCCACAATAAATATGTTAAATGGTAATCTTTTTAGTAAAACACAGTAGTGTTTAACATGAATAGTTAATTTCACCTCATTTGAAAGAGCTAACTATAAGTCTATTGCAGTAAATGGCGTATAACAGGGGTCCACAACCCCCGGGCCATGGACCAGTCTGTGACCTGTTAGGAACTGGGCTGCACAGCAGGAGGTGAGTGGCTGGTGAGCGAGCAAAGCTTCAGCTTCATCTGTATTTGCAGCCGCTCCCCAGCGCTAACATCACCGCCTCAGCTCCACCTCAGATCCTCAGGCATTAGACTCACATAGGAACTCCGGTCCCTGGTGCCAAAAACGGTTGGGGACCACTGAAAGATGCTTAAAGTGAAATGAAGTTTAAAGAGCCCAGTGCCATTTACCATTCTGCGTTTTTTCAGTTGCCGGAATCTGCGCTCAGAGATCTCATTGTGGCCACCATTGCTGTCAAGTACACTCAGTCTAACTCAGTGTGCTATGCCAAGAACGGTCAGGTAACCAAGCTGTGAAACTCAGCTGGGGTGGAGGGGCTGTTGTTTTACAAAACGATGTTCAAAAATGTATCTTCTCCAGTAGTAGATCACTTAAAAGGGAAAATTTACCAATTTTTTCTCTCCTGGGTTTGTCAGTATTTCCTGAGTAACTCGGTGGACTGTTAAAGCTAATGACGATTACAAAGTATCTTTGGAGCTAAGTATTAAAATTTGTCATATTGTTTCTTGCCTAGAATGAGTTGGCACATTTTGGATTAGTGGGACTCAAATAGCTGCTACAAAATCTGGTTTATTCACACGCACACATACCCCACCATTGGTAGTATTTCCAGCGAAGGAGTAAAGAACGATGCTGCCACCCACCAGCCCATGGTTTTGCAGCTCCTAGGGTATTTTCACATAGATTTCTTAGGTTATTTTTCCAAGAATTCATAGATGAGGAGTTAACGTGATTTTTTAAAATCAGATTTACTGAGGCATAATTTGTATACTGAAGTTCACCTTTTGTAAGTGTCATTTGACCAGTTTTCAGAAGTCACACAGTGGTATGACCACTACCGCTCTCAGGGTATTGAGCATTTCGTTCTGTTTGATGTTAGCAAGATGTGTAACTTCTCTCCTAGCGCACCTGGCTGTGGATACAGGGCCAAGTTAGCGTATCGCTCAGGCATCTGACTCCAGGGTGAACCTGCTTCTGTCATAGTTTCAGTAGCATTGGGAGCCCTTAAATCCCATGGTGTCTTGAACTCTTGGCATTTGTTGAATTATTTGACCCATCAGTGGGAGGGTGAGAGTAGATGTTAATTAGTGTGTGACCTGGAAGACCCTTTCAGATTCAGAATTTTCCTGACTGCCAACTGTTAAAAGATTGCTAGTCTCTAATAGAAACCTGGGAGATTGTGGCTATCGGTCACCCTTATGCTCAGGTTCTAATAAGTTCCAGTAAGACCGTGTTTCAGTACTGATGTCCAAGAGTTCTAGAAACTTCCAGAATATTAAGAGGTAAAACATATAAATAGTAGTCATAAATCTCTTAATCCTCACCTTTTAGTGACTTAAAAAGTACTTACATTGCTCTTACTTTGGCCTGGTACTTTCTTCCACAGAATTAATAGGTAGATTTTGGGAAATAAGCACAAAAGATCCCTTGAGACACATATGTCGTTGGAAGAGGTGTTCATTTTAATGTCCACGTCCTTCAGGTCATTGGCATTGGAGCAGGACAGCAGTCTCGGATACACTGCACACGCCTTGCAGGAGATAAGGCGAACTTTTGGTGGCTTAGACATCACCCACGAGTACTCTCAATGAAGTTTAAAACCGGAGTGAAGAGAGCAGAAATCTCCAATGCCATCGATCAGTATGTTACTGGGACCATTGGCGAGGTAAAGGCCTGTCATTGGCTTGTGGATGGTGTGTTTACCCTTTTCTGTGTAACAGACGTTGCCTTCATCACTACAAAGATAAAATGCTATTTTCTTGAATTTCTTTATTGTCTAAAAACTGTTACTCTAAACTTTTTACCAGTTTCTTATTGTCTTTTGTCTCATGTAACTTTCTTCATCCAGTTCTGACACCACAAATCTTCTCTGCCTTTTTAAATTATAACCATTGGTTTAGTTTTGCATACTTGTACTTCCCCTGTTGTTTATAAGCTTTTGATGGCAGGGACTGTTTTTCACCCATCTCGAGGTATCTGTCACAGTGCCACGTGTGCCATTACACATTAGGTGATATTCAGCATTACATGCAAATTACCTATAGCAGGAATCAGTGTCTTTCTTCTCCACCCATGTTTTCTTTAAGTGCCATTGAGAACTCAGTATATTTTTGTTATATTTCATGTTCTTTAGTGTCTTCTGTTTTGAAGAGGGTATATGGGAACATTAAAATGGAAAGTGTCAGGTAGCTCTCCAAAATAATAGGGTTTAGCTCTGTTTCTGGATGTAGCCAGTGCTGAAGAAATACTGGTTGAAAAATAAGAGAAAGGTCTGATAATCAAAATCTCAGTGGTTTTTCGAAGAACGAGTCATCTATACTAAGTTGTCCCCTCGGGGCCTCGAATCCGTGCCGTAGCGTCATTGAGGAGTGAGGCTGCAGAGTGAGCCTTGTAATGTGAAGTACTTGCAGCAGCTTTTCCTTTTTACTTTAATCTTGTATTTTTCTGCTTGATATTACCCAGCAAAGCCCTGCTAATTGTTCTGGAAGAGTCATTATGTGTGTACAGGAATGAAAGTATGTTGTTTAAGCCAAAAAAAAATCACCCAAAGCCAAAATTGGAAGCACCTTCTAAAAATCTGAATGTTATGCATCATGTTTTGGTTTGTCTATAAGACTATTCTCGAGAGTGATTTTATAAATGTACTTAGGATTTCTATCTGTTTCCAATTTCTTGCTTTGATACAGGGATATAAAGTAATAGATTTAACTTGGGCAGAGATTAAAAAACAATATATTTGTAATAAAGTAAATGGTATAGTCTTATACTTTGTAGAAAGTAAATGGTATGGTCTTTACTTGGTACACTTAGAATCACTTTTCTTCCTTAAGGAAATGTTAAAAGCATTAAAAAAAAAAGAGAGAGAGAGATTCTAAAAATAATGACTTTGACTGTAAATAAGCATCATTATTTACAATTAAGAAGTTCTAGAAAAAATGTTAAAGCTTGTCAGTCAGCATTCTGACTTGCATCAAGTAGCACTAAAGATGGTGTCAAACCTTTCTCTCCCTTCTTTCTTTCCCTCACTCCTAGGATGAAGATTTAGTAAAGTGGAAGGCACTGTTTGAGGAAGTTCCTGAATTACTAACTGAGGCAGAGAAGAAGGAATGGATTGGCAAACTCAGTGAAGTTTCTATCAGTTCCGATGCCTTCTTTCCTTTCAGGGATAACGTAGACAGAGCTAAAAGGGTAAGTGTGGGATTGGCGTGCACTTGCTGAGAATAGATCATTATATAGAAACCGCTTCAGAAATCCTGCTTCTGATTTTTGAGTTCTGTGAGTTTATATATCCAGGCTATGAAGGTGATGTATCATTGGTATTTAGAGAATTGTTTTGACTTCTCTCCATTTGTTACATGGATAACTCAGATCTTCTCACTTTGCCTTTTTGTCTGAGTGCATCAGTCCACAGTGCGATTGACTCTTCGTTTATGCTTTATAGATGGGGATTTTGATGT